CAATATTTACCAAATTTTCCTCCCATGACATAATCTTGAGATGCTTGGAGTACTGTCTCTTTACAAGCATTAGACTTACTAAACTGGGTCACACCTTCACAGTCAACTGAAGAGGGAGGGTCATGGGGTCTCCATCTGCTCGTCAGAAGCTGATCATCTTGGTCATCTCCCACACTGTCCAACAATGGATCTGAATCACAGACTCTCTCCTTACTATTCTCATATATATTGGTGTCAGTCCTATTTAACTTATACAAAGCCAATGACACAAACTCTGGAGCGTGCGGGCAAGTAACTGATATTCTGGCCTTCTCTCCATCACCATTTGCTAGGCTAGGGCGAAGTGGGGTCTCTACAACTGACTCAATTTTGACATCCAGGTTATCTTGAGGTTAACTTGAGATGATTTCGGGGCTTTTTTAGTGTCCCCGCAGCCCGGTCCTCGACCAGGCCTCTACCCCCAGGAAGCAGCCCGTGACAGCTGACTAACACCCAGGTACCTATTTTACTGCTAGGTAACAGGGGCATAGGGTGAAAGAAACTCTGCCCATTGTTTCTCGCCGGCGCCTGGGATCGAACCCAGGACCACAGGATCACAAGTCCCGGGTGCTGTCCGCTCGGCTGACCGGCTCCAGAGTTTGGTCAAAAATGAATCCGGAAAATCCACCTCCCACTTCACCTCTGAAGGGGTCCTGGTCTCTGGAACATTTACTTTGGTAGTGACAGAACTGACAAACAAAACACTAACAGAACTGGACTCAGCACAGGCAGAGTAGGTAACATCTTCCAATACATCTGGCTTTTCATTCACAGAACTTTTAAAAAGGGGGCATGATTTTTTTTTTTTTAAGTTGTTCAATGTCAACCAATATTTTTTGACCAGTTGTATATGAAAAGGGCTGCAATTGTTTCAAGTTTCAGTACTTCAGCGTAAATAGAAAGGGAGATTTTTTATTTTTTTATTTTTTTCAACGAATTTTACACATTTTCAAGTCTAAATAAACAAACACACCTTTCAAATATAATCATTCTATGACACTTTTCTGACTCATTAGCATATAATAAAGGATCCGGAGGTAGGGAGTTTCGAAAACATCTTTAGTTTTCCTAATACAAATAGTCAAAGTTCCCCCCCAAAATTATGCAAATATGTCATGTTTATTGCTATAATAAAATCAATGAATGAACTTAGGAAAAAAACGCTTTCTTGGGATTTTAGAGACATACACTTTACATATAAGGTGTAAGTTTCATGTAAATTGAATAAAAAATGAGAGACAAAGCAATGTCAAGGATTTGGGTGTACTCATGCCGGAAGACCTTAACTTTAAAGAACGCAATAAAGTAGCCATCACAACTGCAAGAAAAATGTCAGGTTGGATAACAAAAACCTTTCAAGCTGGAGATGCTATACCAATGATGATAATTTTCAAGCTGCTAGTGCTCTCCAGAGTGGAATACTGTTGCACAATGACAAAGCTGAAGAAATTGCTGACCTGAAGAGCGTGCAGAGATCCTTCCCTTGAAAAGCAGAGGTGCAACAGGTTCTCTGAGACAGAGAACTCTATCAATATCAGAGCCCCGAGACTGTTCAACACTCTTCCATTACATACCTGACCGGCCCCTCACAGTGTTCAAGAGAGAACTTGATAAACACCTTAAAGGATACCTGATCAACCAGGCTGTGATTCATACATCAGGCTGCGAACAGCCACGTCCAACATCCTGATTGACCAGTCCAACAACTAGGAGGCCTGGTCGAAGATCGGGCCGTGGGGACGTTGAACCTTGAAATCATCGCAAGGTAACCACAAGATAAAGAGGCGTCCCTGCCACTTTATGATCAATGTCCAACTTGAGAGCTTCAAGGTATGCCAGGACATGACCTTGTGAGGGACGTGACATAATAGGCAATGAAAAACAGCTGAGCATCCAGCATTCTCACGATCCTTATGACCTGTGCTGCTGCAATTTGAACAGCGAGCTGCATTATGGCATGTGAGGCGATTATGACTAAATAGGTTGGAGGCATAGCAACGAACACTGGAAAATTATAGGGCATTATGTGAAACGAGGTCCTGTGTAGTACCACCCGTCGAGGAGGGGTCTGTCAAATTTATCATGTACCATAGAAGTAGGCACTCAGCTCCTCGAATCCTAGTAACTTCTAGTAGACTCACTGATGCACCCCCCCCCCCCCTCCCTTAACACCTGCAGAATGGCCTGAATGTCTTGCACGGCCACACCTAAATCAATTGGCCTGAACTTCCCATACTGGGCCTGAGACTTCTCATGGGACAACACCTGTGGACATCTGAAAGGCTAGTCCCCCAGTGAAATTGTCTGACAGCCGGATGTGCGATAGGCCCTGACCAGTTGTTGACTGGATAATGGCCACCACATATGCGGAAGAAGGTACCTCTGAAGAAATATCCGCTGATTGTGAGGACATTCTATAAGCATCACGCTCCAAGGCAGCTTCCACCGGCTCATTTTCCAGCAGACGTTTGCCTGTCGGGAACTAGCCATCAACGTCCATATCGCTCCTACCTTGGGAGGCGTCCAAAACAGAGACTCCGGCTTCTGCCTTAATGTAAGTGTCCCCTGGGTAATTTCTTCCTGCCCTCACAGGCACAGGAAACCGGCTAAAGTACAAGAGAAACTCCCGAGGAAGAGATGAGAAAATTTCGAAAGCTGCACTAGCAACCACTAGGTGTTTACAAGACGGTGGTCCCATCCCAACCCAACATTTCTCATATTTAATTGTGCAACAACACACAGAACGACTAGGTGGAAAAGACTGTTTTCAAAATGTGCCACACGACAGTGGAAAATCCAGGTCGATTATTATTAATGAGATGTTGAGTAGTCATGGAACACCGGGACTTGTGTGGTGTTAGTGGGCGAGTGCTGTGCATGGGAACGTCAAGCAACACAGAGTTAGACGTTTCTTCATACGTCTAGATGCATAAACACCAAAGTATCTCCATTACTGTAACCTAAAGGTTGCTTCCAGAATGCAATTGTCCTGTGAACATACTTTGTGTATGTCAGTATATTAATATACCAATATATGAACAATCTTTAAAATCTGCAAACTTGGGGAAGATCATTTCATATCTTCCGACTTCCTGAACAGATGTATTAGGTGCCAATTTCACGTCAAGAAATGGTATGAAGGCCAACCTCGACCCCCTTGTGACACTACCAATACAGTCTCCAGCCATCATGCAAAGTTGAGTGAGGCAATCAATATATATCTGGCTTCCATCTCAGGAGAGGTAGACAATCTATTTAAATACAAGTGGAAATGTTCGTTTGTTCAAAATCGCTAATCTCCAAAAATTCTTCACCGATTGCTTTTAAATTTTCACACAACGTTCCATTCGCATTTGACCAGGTTTTTATATACATACTATATAGATGTCACGTCTGTGACGGAAAAAAATTGCTTTTTCTGAAAAACTGTGTTTTTGCAAGTGTTTTTCATGTGAGGGAAATCTTCGAAACCTCTTTACCAATTGCTTTGAAATTTTGACACAACGTTGCATTCGAATAGACGCGTCTTTTTATATATCTACTATATACATGCCTCACCTGTGACAGGAAAAAACATTTTTTTTTTTTTAACAGCGCCATCTGTTAGATGTCAGAGCAACACACGCTGTAATCTCCGAAAGTTCTTCACCGATTGCTTTGCAATTTTGACACAACGTTGCATTCTAAAAGGCGCGTCTCTTTATATACCTACTATATAGATGCCACACCTGTTACAGGTAAAAACATGCATTTTTGAAAAACAGTGCCATCTGTTGCACATAATAGCAACATGCATGCTATACGAAATATGTCAAAAATTCCATTTCAATGTTTCCGATGTTTGTGACAATGAGTTGAAATTGAGCTGTGTTGTTTACCATACCGTTCATTTCGTAATTATAAGTATAGATGCCACACCTGTGACAGGTAAAATCATTCAATTTTTAAGAAACAGCAACATTTGTTACACGTAAGAGCAACACACACAATACTAAATTTGTTACGATTCCATTTCAATGTTTCTGATTGCATTGACAAATTGAATTTTCATAGATTTCGATTGATTTTCATTTTGATTAATTTTTTTTGTGTGACATTGGGTTGGAATTGAGCTGTGTTGTTTACCATACAGTTCACTTCCTGAGTTTAGTTCAGTTTTGTATTTTTTCATTTTTTTCATTTCATTTTTTTAACAGTTTTTCTTATATTTCAGTGATGGGAACATCAGATCATTTGATGTTCCCAATTTCCTGATGGGAACATCAGATCATTTGGGAAGGCATCGGACAAGGGAGTGATGAATGTTGGAGAGGACAAGGGGGACGAGAGTGGGGGATGGTGGGGAGGACGAGGGGACAGGGAAGGGGGTAATAGTGGGAAGGTGAGGAGAAGGGACAGTTGGGGATGGTGGGGACGAGGCGATAGGGTATTGGAGAATGGTGGGGAGGACAAGGGGACAGAGGAGTGGGGGTTGGTGGAAAGGACGAGGGGATGGGGAAGTGAGAGATGGTGGGGAAGAGGAGGGGACGGTGGAGTAGGGAATGCTTAGAAAGACGAGTGGACGCTGGAATAGGGGATGTTGGGGAGGACAAAGGGACGGGGAAGGGAAGGAATTGTGGAGAGGACGAGGGGATGGGGGAGTGGGAAATTGTTGGAAGGAAGAGGGGACCCAGGGTAAGTTAGGAAATTCCATCTTCAACTTTTTAACGAAAATATTAATAGTTTCAAGTTTTACAGTAACTTTATCCCATATTAACGAAAATAACTTTATTCATATTGTACTAAGCATACTTTATGGACTTAAAAATCTGTCACATTTAATAAAAAAAATATAAAAAATAAATAATTTTAATGTAAAGTTTTTAAAATATATAATATCAAGAGAAAAGAATAAAGTTCTATCTTTAGAAATTGATGAAATCTGAGTCTCGCATTATACTCAAAATTCCATCTTTTTTCAGAATAATTGTCCGGAAGGGGAGTTCAAGTGTGACTCAGGAAGGTCCTGCATCCCTAATGTTTGGGTGTGTGACGGTCATACTGACTGCCCAGACAATAGTGACGAGAACTGCTTCTTCACCCCGTCTTCTCCAACACCGTCAACAGCTTCTTCATTCTCAACACCACCGTCAAAGGTATTACTAAGAGGGTCTCGTGGCACAGTAAGTTCCTCCCAAGACAAACATAAAGTTTTGAGAATGAACTAGAATGTCTCTCAATTAATTGTATAACAGCGCAGAGAACTGGCAGGTGGATAAGACTGTTCACAAAATGTGTCATTCGACTTACAGGAGTTCGGATCTTTTCCTATCAAGATGGTATTGTGAAGGGAGGAAACACGGGGGCTTGTAAGGCCCAGTAGATGAGTGTCGCTTCTTGAGAACCTCTAGCAATAGGCAGTAACAAAATATAGGCCTCTTGAGCTTTGTGGGAATTAGAGGAGTGTTGTACAGGCTTTATATCAATCCAGTGGATTGATTTTCAAAGTCGAGAGGTATGGATTAAGAGCATTTAAGAAATTTTGACACAAACAACATCTTATGGCATGAATCAGAGTGGGAGAGAGATGAATTCACAATGGGAATCATAGTGACCAGCGTAAATTAAGTGGGAACAAAGTTTGGAAAAAAAAGGCAAGTGTAACGACATGTAGACATTAAATTCACTGTAATTTGGTTTAAGTATAATTTATATATGGGAAATTTTAACAGCTTAATTATTAACAATAAATATTTTTCGCCATAAAATGATTACTTGATTTCTGGAGTAGACTTTACTGCAAATGGCGCATTTCGACACATCTTGAGTTAGAAAAAGGAAGAGCTCACGGGAGGCCGAGTTATAAGAAGGAAGAGTTTGGGTAGACTGAGGTGGGGGAAGGCAGAGTTTACAAGAGGAGGCAGAGTTGCAGGTAGGCAGAGTTGAGAGAGAAGCAGTGTTAGGGAAGAAGCAGAGTTGAAAGGAAGCAGAGTTAATGAAGAAGCAGAGTTGGGGGAGCTAGAGATGGAGGAAGAGACAAAGTTAGGGGGGGTGGCAATGATAGTGGGAAGGAGTTTAGCAGAATACAGAAGAAGAGGGTTGTTATGATTGGGAGATACACAGAGCTGTGGTGAGACATGTAGGAGGAAACAAATCTGAGTGGAGGTGGCTGAGTGAAAAGGGGGGGGGGGGGAGGGGCAGGGAAGGTGGGGACGGACAGGGTGAGGGGGGGGGGACGGACAAACAGGGAGTGGGGACATGACAACGGGATGGGAAATATGGTTAAGGGTTGTGGCAGCTGGGAAAGGCAGAGGGGTAACCTAGTGAGGGGAGAAAGTGTGCCTGAGTCTGTCTGTCTGCTGTGTGTCTCGGGTGAGTCTCTGGGGTAATCAGATGTATGTGTATGTGTGTGTGTGTGTGTGTGTGTGTGTGTGTGTGTGTGTGTGTGTGTGTGTGTGTGTGTGTGTGTGTGTGTGTGTGTGTGTGTGTGTGTGTGTGTGTGTGTGTGTGTGTGTGTGTGTGTGTGTGTGTTTACTAGTTGTGTGTTTACTAGTTGTGTTTTTGCGGGGGTTGAGCTTTGCTCTTTCGGCCCGCCTCTCAACTGTCAATCAACTGTTTACTAACTACTACTTTTTTTTTTTTTTTTTTTTCCACACCACACCACACACACACACCCCAGGAAGCAGCCCGTTACAGCTGACTAACTCCCAGGTACCTATTTACTGCTAGGTAACAGGGGCACTTAGGGTGAAAGAAACTTTGCCCATTTGTTTCTGCCTCGTGCGGGAATCGAACCCGCGCCACAGAATTACGAATCCTGCGCGCTATCCACCAGGCTACGAGGCCCCCTGTGTGTGTGTGTGTGTGTGTGTGTGTGTGTGTGTGTGTGTGTATTCACCTAGTTGTGTTTGCAGGGATTGAGCTCTACTTTTCGGCCCGCCTCTCAACTGTCAATCAACTGTTTCTACTACTACTATTTTTTTCCTCCACACCACACACACACACACACACACACACACACACACACACACACACACACACACACACACACACACACACACACACACACACACACACCAGGAAGTAGCCCGTGACAGCTGACTAACTCCTAGCTACCTATTTACTGCTAGGTAAGAGGGGCATAGGGTGAAAGAAACTCTGCCCATCGTTTCTCGCAGGCGACCGGGATCGAACCCGGGACCACAGGATCACGTGACCAGCGTCTTGTCCGCTCGGCCGGCCGGTTTCCTTGTGTGTGCGCGCGTGTGTGTGTGTGTGTACTCACCTATTTGTACTTACCTATTTGTGCTTTCAAGCCATACACTTGAAACTGTGTATGGAGTCAGCCTCCACCACATCACTGCCTAATGCATTCCATTTGTCAACTACTCTGACACTAAAAAAATTCTTTCTACTATCTCTGTAGCTCATTTGGGCACTCAGTTTCCACCTGTAATTACCTAAGTTTAATTACCTAAGTGTAGTTACAGGATGAGAGCTACGCTCGTAGTGTCCCGTCTTCCCAGCACTCTGTCATATAACGCTTTGAAACTACTGACGGTCTTGGCCTCCACCACCTTCTCACCTAACTTGTTCCAACCGTTTACCACTCTGTTTGCGAAAGTGAATTTTCTTATATTTCTTCGGCATCTGTGTTTAGCTAGTTTAAATCTATGACCTCTTGTTCTTAAAGTTCCAGGTCTCAGGAAATCTTCCCTATCGATTTTATCAATTCCTGTTACTATTTTGTATGTAGTGATCATATCACCTCTCTTTCTTCTGTCTTCTAGTTTTGGAATATTTAATGCCTCTAACCTCTCCTCGTGGCTCTTGCCCTTCAGTTCTGGGAGCCACTAAGTAGCATGTCTTTGCACCTTTTCTCCTAGGTATTTTGAGAGGAATGAGTCTATACCCTCCGGGAGATCGTTCACGTATATCAGAAACAGGAAAGGGCCGAGTACAGAGCCCTGTGGGGCTCCACTGATGACTTCACGCCAATCTGAGGTCTCACCCCCCCCTCACTGTAACTCTTTGCTTCCTATTGCTTAGGTATTCCCTTATCCACTGGAGCACTTTACCAGTTACTCCTGCCTGTCTCTCCAGCTTATGTACCAGCCTCTTATGGGGGACTGTATCAAAGGCTTTCCGACAGTTAAAAAAAATGCAGTCTGCCCAGCCTTATCTTTCTTGTTTAATCTTTGTCACCTGATCGTAGAATTCTATTAAGCCAGTAAGGCAAGATTTACCCTCCCTGAACCCATGTTGGCGATTTGTCACAAAGTCCCTTCTCTCCAGATGTGTTACTAGATTTTTCTCACGATCTTCTCCATCACTTTGCATGGCATACAAGTTAACGACACTGGCCTGTAGTTCAGTGCCTCTTGTCTGTCACACTTTTTGTATATTGGAACCACATTAGCCGCCTTCCATATTTCTGGTAGGTCTCCCGTCTCCAGAGACCTATTATACATTATGGAGAATGGCAAGCAGAGTGCCTCTGCACACTCTTTCAATACCCATGGTGAGATCCCGTCTGGATCAACAGCCTTTCTAACATCCAGATCCAACAGGTGTCTCTTGACCTCATCTCTCATAATTTCAAACGCTTCCAATGCCGCCTTGTTTACTGCCCCCCTCTCTTAGCGCAGTGACCTCACCATGTTCTATTGTGAAGACCTCCTGGAACCTCTTGTTGAGTTCCTCACACACCTCTTTGTCATTCTCTGTATACCTGTCCTCTTCTGTTCTAAGTTTCATTACCTGTTCTTTCACTGTTGTTTTCCTCCTGATGTGCCTGTGGAGTAGCTTTGGATCGGTCATGGCTTTGCTTGCTATATCATTTTCATAATTTTTCTCTGCTTCCCTTCTCACAATAACATACTCATTCCTGGTTCTCTGGTATCTCTCTCTGCTTTCTGGTGTTCTGTTATTTCGGAAGTTCCTCCACGCCCTTTTGTTCAGTTTCTTTGCTTCAATACATGCCCTATTATACCATGGATTTTTCTTTTGCTTCTCGGATTTTTCCCTTTGGGCCGGGATAAACCTGTTTACTGCCTCCTGACACTTTAGGGTGACATAGTCCATCATGTCTTGTACCGACTTAGCTCTGAGGTCTGTGTCCCATGGTATATTCCCTAGGAAACTTCTCATCCCCTCATAATTCCCCTTTCGGTATGCCAGTCTTTTGTTTTCTAGTTCTTTTTTGGGGGAGATAAGTCCTAGCTCTACCAAGTACTCAAAGATCAATACACTGTGATCACTCATTCCTAAGGGAGCTTCCATCTTAACCTCCCTTATATCCCACTCACTAACGGTAAATATCAGATTAAGCATAGCTGGTTCATTCTCCCCTCTCATTCTTGTCGGTCCCTTGATATGCTGGCTAAGAAAGTTTCTTGTTGCCGAATCCAGCAGCTTAACTCTCCATGTATCTGGTCCTCCATGCAGGTCTCTGTTCTCCCAATCAATTTTCCCTGGTTGAAATTCTCCATGATTAGTAGTCTAGATCCATTCCTACTAGTGAGATGCTGTTCTCTCTATTATGTTAATGGTGGCCATGTTGTTTCTATCATATTCCTGTCTGGGTCTTCTGTCATTTGGTGGCGGGTTATATATGACTGCGACTACAATTTTTTGTCCTCCAGTTGCTATTGTACCTATTATATAGTCACTGAAACCTTCACACTCCATTAACCATTTCCTCAAAATCCCAGCCTTTTCTTACCAGCAGAGCTACACCACCACCACCTCTTCCTTCTCTCTCTTTCCTCACAACACAGTAGTCCTGTGGAAACACTGCATTTGTTATGGTTTTCGTTAGCTTTGTTTCTGTGAGTGCTATTATGTCTGGGTTTTCTTCAAGTACCCATTCTCCAAGTTCATCTGTTTTATTTGTAATCCCATCTATGTTAGTGTACATTGCCTTGAGACTCACTTTCTTCTGTCCCTTCTCATGTTCCCTTCTTGGTGAGCGTTCTGCTGATGGGGGAAGCTGTTCCATAGGCGTAGATGTGCGGTGGGTAACGGGGTCTCAGAGGATACTGGAGTGAGGGGTGGGGGTCAAGTGAATTGGGGACAGGGAGGGTATGGGATGAAGGGGGAGGGAGGACAGAGGGAGAAAGGGGGGGGAGTGGGATATGGTGGGAGTAGGGGATGG